AAAAAAAAAAAACAAGTCCTTCTGATTCCAATCGCATAACATACTATGCAAATTCATTTCTATGCTAATTACAGCTTGCGAAAACTGGGACTAATTCTTTATTAATACCTGTTAGTGAAATAATCTTAGTATGCATGCAAAAATACTAAGCCGAAAAAAAAAGAAGAAAGAAGCTGAAAAACAACAAAATCAAATGGAAAGCTTCTTAAATTCTTTTCCCTATTTTTTAAATTTTATTTCATTTAATAAATAACCAGTTAATTTGAAGCTGCTTTTTGGATCCAATAAAGGGAAGAAATTTACCCAATTTTTTTAATGGAAGTAATAAAAAGATTTTTCCTTTGTTTGTTTTTCTTCTAACCATTAAACAAAGTTTATTTGTTTCTGAAATTACTTGTTCTTTTTTTTTTTTAAAATTTCCCTTTTCTTTTTTTTTTAATAACCTACCAGGCTGCTGATAAATAGTAAGTGATGATGATGATGATACAGTAGAGGTTTTTTAGCAAGTGGAAATACCGCCAACAACACATGTGCAAAATCATTTCCCGTCTATTGCTAACTCGTCAATTGAACGTCACAACAGTGAAGTGTCATCACACGCCGACTATGATTTGTGTCGTCAAAACTACCAAAGTTACAATAATTCACATCCAAATCCACTAACGTCTAACTTTTTTGAACAGGTATCATCACAACAACCACCTAACCGAGTGTTTTTAGTTTGACAACTTTTTCAGTTTATTTATTTTGCCAGCAAATAAAAAACAGTATGTTTGAACAACACAAATTGTTTGTGAACGAAATAAACTTTTTTTTCCTTTTTTCCCCTTGTCAGAGATATTACTTTGAAGCATGGAAATAACGCATGAGAACCTTGTTTAAACACAATAAAAGCAATTTTCCGAGTTCTTCTCAACAAATAAAAGCTTAGACCGTTCTTGGAAAAAGAAAGTTTTTTTTTAAAAAACGGAAAGAAATAAACACAGAATGCGTACAAAAAATTTAGGTGATTTATGCATCCGAATTTCAGGAGCCATTGTTACCGTTGAACACCAAAGGTACCACTGGTTCAACACATCTACGGTCCGGTGTTAGCCCAACGTGTCCTCGGCATGGTCGGGCTGCATTATTAGCTGCAGCTGCTGCGGCTAGGCCTAGTTTGCAGGGTTCAGGTCAAGGAACTGGTCCGGCCTTAGAGGAGATACAAGTATAGCCTTAATTATGCAGTAACCTCACCAAATTTTTTTTTTTTCTGATGCGTGTATTGGATGTAAATAATCTTTTTACTGCTACTTCTTGCTCAGTTAAGCAATACCAACTAATTTGTTTTAACTAAGGTTTTTCACTCAAATTTTGTTATTATATTATAATTTATATTAAGAAAAGAAATTTTTATTGATATTACTGTTAGATAACATTAACTTAAAATTTTTATTAGAATAAGAAAAAAACTGTTTTCTTTTTTTTGTTAATTAAAAACTACCAACGTCTTTCAAAACGAAAACTGAAAAAATTGGATAAACAAGGATAAGCAAAAGGAAGTTAGCTCTTTAGAATGTGAAGTGTAGTTTCTATGCATTCAGATGCTTTAGAGTAAACCTTCTAACTTTGTTTCATTTGTTGATCTCGTATTCCTAAAGTAATTGTGATATTTCCCTGTACTTGTGTTCACCATTTGTAGCGTTATTGTATTTGGTGGCATTAGATTGTTGATTTCAACTATGTTGTTGTACATTAAGAAATTTTTTGTGCTATTTGGATTTAATGCCACTTTTCAATGAAGATGAAGCAAAAGACAAAAGAAAAAAAAAGAGAAAAAAAAGTAGAAATGCTCAAGCTATTCAACTTTCAAATTAGAAAATTGTGAAGATGCAAGATATAAATGAATGGATTACCAACTGTACTTTTTTTTTATTGATCAGTTATAAGAATCAAGAAAGATGTTAAAAAAGAAGCAGATGTAATGCATTTTTACCTGTTCGCACCATGCTTTTAAAGGACGTGCCAGACGGCGATGCAGAAGTTGTCTGTAATAACAGCTCAGTAGACCGGTCGTCAAGGACAAGTGTAGCTTTAAAAAACTTACTGTAGTTACTTTGTAATTTAGGTAAAAAGCAAGTAAAAATATAATTTTTTAAAGCATCAAATTTCACATTTGCACACCGTCTGTTTGATTAGAAATGAAGCAGGACATTGCATATAGACAGACTGAGAACATATTCAAGCCATTTAAAACACACTTCTTCTGAAATCAGCGGTTGAAAAAAAAAAAAGTGGTAGAAAAAATTTTTTTACAGATAAAAATTGTTTTATTACAAAAATTTATTGGCTTTCCGATTAGCATTAATTTTTACCGTTTAGCAGATAGCAAGTCATAAAAAGTAATCGTTACTTCCTTAAAGTAAATAAATATTAAAACACTTATTGCCGTAGTTTGGTAGTGCAATAATGAATTTTTCGATGTATATTGTATTGTTTAAAAAACAATTGATAAAAATAAATTACAATTTTATTTGCTTTTAAGCTGTTAATTGACGACTTACTGGTATAATCTGAAACCGTATATTCAGCGCACTGATCTGTTCATCTCTACCAAATTCATAGTCACAGTGCACGGATGCCCGTTCAGCATAAGGTAGTCGTTTTTTTTAGGCTCTCCGAAATATCGCGCGTATCCTTCAGTTTCATTTAGGAATCCATATCCTACAAAGACTTATATTTCAGGGCCTTAGATCACAGCTGAAACCGAAAAAGATTCCGTCACTAGTACTGATAAAGACTTTGAATTTAAAATAGCATTCTGCTAAGAAAAAGAAAAATAAACATACGATATGCTATTCAACAAGGAATTTCGCTCCCAAGTGACATACGATAACTGTATTCAAATTTCTTATATGTTTGTCGTGGTTCAGGTCAATTTTTAAGGTTTGGTTTACGAACTCAGGAGCTGCAGCTTTACCTACCAATAAACGTATCTCTTCAAGCGCTGTATAAATCCAACCGGCGATAATAGGTGTATTAAGCAGAACGGCAGTTCTACTTTTTACAATTTATTCAACATCAAATTATTCAAAGCATTAAATAATTTTTGATGCACAGACAGAATTGTCTGACAGTCAGTGAGAAAACTTTTTTGCTTAGCGAATAAGGCATAAAGACGAAATAAACAAATGAATGAATTTTCGAAGCGCAATTTTTTTAAAATCTAAACTATGTTTTTTCGATAAGTCAGTGATAACTTGAGATTATGAAAAACCAGTTAGGTACTTCAAAAAAAAAAAATGCTTTTGCAAAGTGCTTAACACTTACCAAACACAAAACACACCAATTAGATTCAAATACATTTGCCAACGGTCCTTAACGTATGCAGCAATCAAGGGTACTACATTTGTCACGACGTCGTTACATCGATCCATCGCCAAAATTTCTGACCCGTCTTCCTCTGTCGACGGAGGAAAAAGCATAATATTGACTTGAGTACAGTTTCAATATCCGTAATTAGCAGGGCTGCCACATTGACAACTAGATTATAGTTTAAACGATTGTATCACTTGTAATTTTCATAATACTGTTTCCATGAAAAATCCAACGATACCTCACGAATGGAAGAGAATCATACGGCAAGCACTCTTAAGACAATATTATCGCATTAAGAAAACAAACAATTCTTACTAATGATTTATCCTATCGCTAAAACGACTGGAATTAACGAGTGTTTGACCAAATGTACAGTACAAAAAAGAATAGATTTTAAACAGACGATAAGGAATAAAAATTCTGTTCTTATTTTTGACGATAAGGCAAGCGCGAAGAAAACTATAACCAGTCGTTATACAAACATTGTTAGCTTATTTGTTTAGTAGTCGAAAAGTCGTGATTTTCACGCCTAGAATGATCAAATTATCCGCAACTTCTCTTTATTCTGCTGCGTTGATCAACGCTAAGCGACGAGAACCACCAAGAAGTTCCTGATCGTCTTCTACTTCTTTCTCCAAATACTGCTGATAGCCGTAAAATTTTTGCACACAGTATGCTTTTTGACGTCCATAAGGTCTGGTACAAAGTTATATCGCAAAAGCCACTATTTCAGCAGCAATATTGTTTTAATTCTCCTCAGCCAGCAGAGAGATGAAAAAATCGTAGCTAAAAATGAATAACTTCTCAGCATATAGATATTTCGACAATGATAATGCGAAAAAGAACATAATTCTTCTTCGTCTTTTTCTTGAGAAATAAATGAGCATTTTAGCAAATAGCAAAAAAACTAAAGCAATTTTTAAAATTTAAACTGAGGCTAACGACCAGTCTTATCGCATTAAAATTACTGGTCATAAAAAAAATCAGATAATGCATATTTCTTTGTTCAATGAGTTTATCTATTCAACTTTTGTAATAAACTTTCAGCCTTCGTTTTTACTGTTATCTGTATCGTTTTTTTGACGGTAACACACTGATAAATCAAAGTTCAATGTGGTCGTATCCGTTCAGCTTGTGATGGTTTAAATAGGAAAAAAAATGAAAAAATACCCTCGGTTCTTTCAATTTTTTGCCAAATAGGGCATTCAGTCAAAAAGAAAAAGAATGTTAATGTTAATAAAGCTTTCAAAAGTCATTTGTCATCAGCACACGACAGTGGCACAGAAAACACTTACTTACACAAAAACAGTAAATGCTAATATTGAAAATAACAAGGAGGAAGTTGACAGATGATTACTGGAAAAAGAAAGTTGTAAAAAAATTAGGACCTCAACAGAATTGAAATTTTTAAATGGTTTATCAAGTCCCAACAAACCTCTTTTACGATTGCATGTAAATGTTTGTTCACCTTCCTTTTTTCCTACGCTAAAGTTTCTCATGAAACAACTAATCGAATAAACTGCTGCTAAGTTACTGGTAATTAGAAAGCTTTTGAAAAAGCAAACTTTCAAGCATGGAAATTACACCCATAAGGGAAATTGACTTGCATTTTTTGTCAAAATATCTCAAGTCCTCTCCTCACCCACAAGTTTCCTTTTAGACAAAGAAGTCACAAGTAAAACTTTTAGTTTAGTTAAAAAAAACATAACAAATTTCAGAAGAAAAAAATTAGATTTTCCATAAAAACAGCAAATTTTCTTAACACCTAACATGAGCAATCATATCATAATAAGACTGCATGAGTAAAAATGGAGCAAGTACAGTGAAGAGCAGATAACAATTTTATGACCAAAATTTCAGACGACACGATAATTATGAAATGTAAGACTTACAGTATATACAACTGAACGTGATCTATGTTTAATATTCATATTTTAAACACAGACAATTTTAAGAATTTTTGAAGCCGTTGGCATCATAATTTTTCTGCAGCATTACTGGCTGCAGCCTGAATTCAGTCTACAGTTTTTATTTCAGAAGACACTTTAAGCACCGCAGAATATGAATTTTTAATCATAGCTATGCGGTAAAGTGGCCAATTTTTTTGGTATTCTCTTTATTTGAGCTTTAGCTAAATAACCCAACCATTCCAATTTTTCGTCTCTCTCGTATCTTCTGATTTTGAAGCTTCTTTCTTTTAACTCACTCATTACTCACTTGTTCCCATAAATTAATGCTGATAAAAAAGTGAAATTTTAGTTTTTTTCGCAGTTGTTTTGTCAAAAAATAAAGAATATTGTGACTGTTTTAGTTACATGTCTGTGAAAAAATTACAGAGACGTCTGTATTTATTTGTTCAAATCACTGTTACCAGTTTTGCCTACCAGTTGGCAAAATTTGAAACACTTTTTTCAAAAAATTACTATGTTTTCCCGGCATTATCGTCTTTTAGATCGACCCTGTTTCCCCTTTTCGCAAAAGTGGCTATAAATTGTTGTTGAAAACAAGTGAGTTGTTCTTCTAAAAAAATGCTTCAATACTTTCACAAAAAGAGCAGAAAAATGACAATATCATCATGAAGAAGCTACAGGCTAGTTGATTAAAGATTAAAAAAATAACTGAAGAAGATGGCAAAGGTGAAGGCTTATTTGGCTTTTTTTTTCCCAAATATAAAAACAGTGATGTGTAAAATTTTGTGCAGATTTCTTCGTCTGTTCTCCACTGAGCGAAGTGCAAGCGAACACTGCTGCGGTTTGCTGTTACCATTTCAACAACTTGTTGGTTTGCTGCTTTGTCTTCGTTAGTTTATTTTCTAAAAGATTTTTCTTTCGTCTCAAAGACAATTCGCAATTTAGC